TTTATTTCTCGTAAGCTGATTTGATGACTGATGGTTGAGCTCACTTCCATTTCGGGTGGAAGTGTTTGGCGAAGAGATTCGAATGTCGATTCCACCAAAAGACGACGACGGATTCCTTTTGACCAGCTGTCGAATGTTCCAGTAAAACCAATCGACGACTGGTCAAGACGAATCTACCGTCGTCTTCCGATGAAATCGAGCTTCGAAACACTTTTACTCGAAATGGAAGTAAGCTCAACAATTGTGAAATAAGATATTCCTCGAAACCCAACTTTTTTCGCATTCATTAAGGAATGATAGTTGACTTCTCTCACAATCGGATGAGATTACTCTTTACCTCACCACAATCGAACAAAGCTGACATCGTTCTTACTCAAGAATTTTCTACTTATGCCAGAAATGCCTGATTAATAGTTGACTTCTGAAGCGAAGTTTACAAAATGCGTCCGCAAACGACAAAGTCCTCTAAAATTATCACCTATTTCAGTTTTGTCCCACCTCAATCGGACATCATCACCACCAGTCCGCTGGCTGGACCCGCTTGTCAACAGGTTCACCGGTGCTCAGGTGGCATGGTTACGTGTCATACCAAACGGAGAAATTTCGCGAAATAGGCGTTGCCATGCGCTCTGGACGGTGGCAATGATGCAAAAACCTCCTATCTCAACGACACCGCGACCGTAGCAACAGCAACTGATCTGACCTCTACCACGGCCAGCTTTTCGGCTGCATGTACCAGAATCGTCTCAAATGTGCACGATTGGCGAGGGCCTCATTAGCAATTCTTGTGTCAACCTTGTCCTCGTCCTCGTCCACGTCCGTTTGCCCCGGCAACACTTTGTACACGGCCAATATGCGGCTTTCTTTCATACATTTGCCGACTTTCTCCTCTCGACTGCACACCAGCTGCACACGTGCAAGTACAATCAACATCACAATCACACTCGACTGTCCTCTTTCTAGTTTGGCCAGCCGTCGCCTGCCAACCGGCCCATACAGACTCACGGTTTGCCGGCTCCAGGCGTCGCTTTGTCGGAATGGCACTTCAATCAAATGGTACGTTGTGTAAGAAAACACAACCTACCGACTGCCAGAGATGGAGGTGCAGAGAGTTGGTGGGTTCGATTGGCCGAGTGGTTCCTTCACAGAAAAAAAAAATCACTCAATCTCAGGTCTTTTCCTGTAACCAGGCTATAGCTGTCTTTTAAAGAGACACTTTATTCTGCGCACCTCATGTTTCCTTTGAGTAGGGCTGTATCAATTTGTCATCTCATAAGATACGTATGTCCATATTATGCTATAAAACGACAAGTTGTAGCTAATCTAGCAAGTGTCTCTCATCAAACTTATCATTTAATTGGTGAAATCGCTGACCTCGGACCCTCCGGCATGCTTCCAGCCTCACCCGAAGGGTCAAGCCCAGCCTGCCAGACCGAGAGTGCCCTTTCAGACTGACCTATCGCAGCAGTGCTGGGGATTCGAACAGTCTGCCGATGCTCCGATTCCGCTTCTCACCGCCCATGGCAACTTTACAGCCTCACATCAAAGTTTCATAGACAATTCACATATCTGCTCTCTGTCACATACCCACCTACTGCTTCATCGACACACAAACATCTATTGCACAGATTGACACACACACACATACACAGGCATACACTACGTCAAAACTCCCTCCTCTTGAATAAGAGACATGTTTACATGAGAATATATGAAGACCAAGATGTTGTGGCCTCTGGTGTGGTCGCAGTCTCCTTTCGATTGATAGAAG